CCCCAAAACCCCAAAACCCCAAAACCCCAAAACCCCTTGAAAATTAATACATATTGAAATTTTGTTAAACTTTTTCGTCTATTTCCGAATCAAACACTTCTTTTTCTTCATACAATATCAGCATGCCCAATCAGGGACATGGTCTTTGAGAAATGGAACTATTACATGGCCTTGCCCAAGATGGCATGCTTGACTACATGATTCACAAAGCCATTTCAGGTTGCAAGTATTTCACTTAAAGTAGTTATGGGTGGCTCCAGCTCCTTTGACAAAATCAACTTTCATACACTTTTTAGGCATATCGGATTTTCACTTGATTGTGCCATGTATCTCAATAGTTGATCCGTTCTGAATTCCAAGTTTTTCTCTGGTAGTGAGCATGCTGTCAACTTTTATGGTCTTTCCAAGGACCTTGTCAGGATCCATTCCCTCGTCTATATCCCATTCATTTTTCTCTTCTTCTTTGTGTTTGACTACTAGGGGACCTCTGATGTAAATCTGAACGTCATCACCCCATTCCTCAACAGCATTCCCCAAATCCTGGAATCTATCAATGACTAACCTCTTGATGTCGTTCATGCAATCATAAGGCTTCATTGAAATCTCCTTGATGACCATATCTTTGCTAGTGACATTCACATCGACTCTGACTGGCAATGCTTCAGGCTCAGGGATGGCAGACCCACTAAAATATTAGAATACACGAGGATTACATTGCATTTGAGTAGTTTTGAACCAGCATGTCAATCACCTCTTTAAATTTCCCTTCACATTCGGTGACCTGCGCTTGTTTTGCAATTTCGATGTTTTCTTTTGAACCATCACCTTCTTCCATAAGTTTTATGGCAAACTTTTTGTCTATATCTTCTATCAATTTGGACTTCTCATCTAGTAAAGATTGGTAATACTTCTGGTACTTGAGAAGCCCTTCTCTGAGGTTGAGTAGGAACACCTATACACACTGTTAAGCTCTGGAATAGCCATATAAGCGGGAAATCTGGCTGGATTCTGTTGGAAAGTACTTACAGTCTCGATGGGGCTCTTGTTCATAACTCCTTCCTCGCCATTATCATTATTGTTGGCGATGTTATCGAAATATTTCTCAGATTCAGCTTTCTTAGCCTCATTGAGCTGATTAAGTATGTCTTCGAGCTGGTAATTCCTGATTACATCTTCAGGCTGACAGGCATCATTACAATGAGGGCACTGCTTCTTGAGGTTTAAGCATTCAAAGATGCAATCCTGACAGAAGGAATGCCCTCATTTTGTGATGTGAGGGGTCCTGAAGTGGTTCATACAGACCAGGCATTCGAATTGCTCTAAGATAGGGTCCACATTGATCTTAAGATTGTTCTGTCTTTTCTCCATTGCTAGAATTTATTATATAAGATTCCTTACCAATTCCTACCACCGTTAAGGGGTTTTGGGGTTTTGGGGTTTTGGGGTTTTGGGGTTTTGGAGTC